CCCCCTCTCTCCAATAGAGGTCCTCAGTGCGGTATCATTTGGCTCACATTTCTATAGTCACCTTAATTTTGTGGCAATGTTTGAAGAAGCCGAATTTAATCAAGCAGTAGAAGAACTGAACTGTCCAAAACTAGAAAACTGGGAATTTTTTGTTGAAACATCTCCTGAAGGAGTTCATTGTAAAATATATCGACAGTATGATCAGGTATGCTGAGACAAGTATATTATTATTCAATTAGAGTTGACTAATTAAAAGTATTTCGGGATGGACTGGCCCCATCTTGTTTCACAGATCCTGTTGGACTGGTCCCTCTATATACTGGGAAATGTTCCTTAATTAGGACTTTCAATATGTGCAAAAACTTTTACAATTGCAGTGAACAACATAAACTAAATTTTATTTTGTCATGCCTCATATACAGGGTGTATAAGAAAGGTAATCCAACTTTTTATGTTAATTTTCTTTGTTATGTTGGGTTACGTACTATTGACTAATATATAGATATCACTTGTCAGTACTGAATAAAGATATTGAATTGGAATTGAATCAGAATTGTATCATTGCGTCAAAAAATGACCAAAATGGCAAAATTAACACATGTAATATTTAAATTAGCCGGTCCAAGTGAATACAAACGTATTGTCTGAGACTGAGGCTTGAAATTATTCTCATCTCGGATTCCAAAATTAAGCATTTGATAAAGCTACCCTAACGAGTGACGTAGCCGTAGGGGTGATTCAACTCGTGATTTGGAGGTTTTGCAGACGACTTGAAATGCAGAAATTTTTGCAGATAGGATCATAGGCAACTTTCATTTGGGCAAATGTTCAAAAAGAGCGACAGAGACAGAGGTGGAAAAATACGATTTCGATCGGAAATTTTTCAAATTGTATCGTATTTTGCTATTTTGAAGCGAGAAAGGCATCATTTGACATCACCTAACCGAGACCTGATCTTTTTATATGGAAAAAGTAATATGGGTAAACTGAAGTGTAGACAGTTTATGCACGATTTCATGCCAAAGGCTGCAAAGACGAAGTTTACTAGATTTCCCTTTTTGAAGGCAAGGTGCCTCTATGTTTTGACTTCACCATCTGCAGATAATGGCTATTCATTGTCTAAAATGTTTTGTGATTTACTGGAACTTTTTCAGGCTTTTACTATTTTAGATAAAAGGGTTTAGATTTTTACTAGAGTGAAATTCTTTTGTTATATACAGTATATTTTTCACAATATTTTTTGTGCTATGGCCTACGTCATTTAACAAGTTTTTTTGAAATATACTTATATAGGCATCTGGTCTATATTCTTATAAGATGTATGGCACCTTAGAATGTCTTCCTGAAGTATGCTATCAAGTTTATATAGATTTAGAATACAGAAAGAAGTGGGACGATTATGTGAAAGGTTTGCATGCACCCACTTAACCCACAGGAGCCAGTTGTACGAAGGCCGGATAGCATAGCGCTATCCACCAGATAGTGCTATCCACCAGATAGTGCCGGATTATTCAATCACAATGCCCAAAAGGCTGCAGACGTGAACCCACTGTATATGAATATAAAAGTTCTTTAGTATATAATTACTAAACTTTAATATTGGTTATATCAACATGAGCTCCACCTTTGACACGTCCGAATTTATCATTTTCAAGATTTTCAAAAAAAAAGTTTAAAAAAGTTTTAAAAAAGAAAATAAGAGTTTAAAAAGTTAGATTATAGGGTTAGGGGTTAGTGTTAGGGCTTAGCCTTAGATGTCGCGAATTTATCATCATGATAAATTCAAAATGTATACCGCGAATTTATCATAATGATAAATTCGGACGTGTTTAAGAATTTACTCATATAGTAAATTCAAAGGTGCATGGAGCTCATGTTGGGTCATATACCATTCAACGACAACGATCAGTTATAGAAAGTTTGAAAAATCCGGCCTTCCTACAACCGGCCTCATGCCGCGCAGTAGTGCATGTAACCTAACTTTTTTGACCTCTTGTCAGTTGTCACCTGGGAAAAGCAAGTCATGAAAATTGCTCAGTTGTCTTTCAATATAATTTACTTGCCAACAATATGGCTTGTGCTGACCCGGTGTAATGAATAGCTTACTTTATAGCTTTACATTCGAACTGGCAATCTTCGAAAGACATTTCCAATCCTGCACCAGGGCGCTTATATATAAGCACCCTGTCCTGCACAGTACTGCCCCGCGCGGTTTTAACTGTACAGCGCAAGTGTTACATTACAAGCGCAAGTGTTCATTTATAATAACATTAATTTTGTTAACAAAGTGTCGCCTATATGCACTATTTTTTTACTTTAATTTGTTAGAATTATACGAATTTACTGAAGACGACAATGGTTCTACGGTCAAAGGAATATACTGGAACGTTAATTTCCCTTTTCCTCTCTCTAATCGTGATGTATCCTCAATTATTTTGTACCGTTCGTTCTTTTATCGTCTTCTAGGCCTAACAAAAATATATCCTGTGGTTCCAGTTTCCCGACCGTCTTTTTTCTGCCGATCTTACGGTGTTTTTGTTTGGGAGTGGTTGGTCTTGTTTACTAACCTCACTACCCTATGTTTTTTCGTTGCTCGCTTTAAAATAAAAGCCGAGACCAAAAATTGTGTCCGTTGTCACAGTTGTTTTTTTGAGTGAAATGCTCATGTGTTACTGCAATGTCAGCTGATCACACTCATGATTATTGACATTGATTGTGAACTGAAAATGTTCTTACCTACCTATATGGCTATACCCTGATTTTTTTCTCTAAGTGTCTGCCTGCTGTTGGTAGTGATTGCGCAGGATCTTTTTGTTCGGGTCTATGCTCTCTGGAGCGAATCTTTCTATAAAAAATCATACTTATTTACGAAAAATGATCGAGGGATTCAGGCCTGAAACGTCCTCACGCTTCACTTGTTTCTTATCCACGAATCGTTATCGGGATCCGGTTAATTTGAAGACCTACGATATAGCACTAGTCACTGGACAGTGATTTTCAGCCTTTGTAAAAATGCCTCAAATGCTGCGAAACTATACGCCATGGACCCGCAACAGATATAGAGAAATTTCATTTTTAAATATTTTTATAAAATTTCATTTTTAAATATTTTATAAAATCTTTTATGATTTTACTAAACAACGCGGTAAAATTTTAAAAAGCTTTAAAATTTAATAAAAATCACAATCCTTTGGATAGCGCTATATATAGCCTTCGTACAACCTCTGGTGTTTTATTCCTTAACTATTCATCTGATATAGTATACATTTGTAAGAGATTCCAGAAAACTAGATGTAAATGGGATTCAGACGTATGCCGTGCTTGGCAAAAGCCATCCATTTAGTTCCCGGAAGGAAATCAGCGGAGTAGTGCGTGTCTCAGACTTCACTCAGAGTTTAGTTTTACAAGCTGATGAGAAAAATAATACCAAAGGTATGGAGCGCTAGACCTTTATTTTCTGCCCATTATTATAGTCGGACTCAGTCTACACACAGATAAGATTAATGTGAACCTTATTATACAGTCGAAGCCCTAAAAACGGGCACCCCTTGGCTTTATTAAGCGGACACAAACCTCTAATCCCAATGTTAATTAAACAATTATTACTGACCCCTGTTATTAAAAGCGGACACAATTGTATGGTCCCAAAGGGGTCCATTTAATAGGGATTCAACTGTACAGTACTCGAGAATAGAATCCTAATATACGGATTCATATGTAGTCATACGCAGCTCAACTCGTCGGCATGTAACTCATGCATGCTCAGCTCTCTCACCCTAACATGCGTATCTCAACCCATGGAGTTAATTCTGTTTGAGGTATAACTCCTATAGACCAGGGCACCTCTATATAGATCCATTTCATGATGACGTCATATAGGTTCATCCTTTCTGAGTCCAAAAAGGAAAAAGAGGAAATTGTGAGCATGTTAAGAACGTTGTGAGCATGTCAAAATTTTTCAACTTATTACTATTGTATGACGTCATCATGAAAGAGGTAACTCATCGCGCCGGTGTGCTTCGCTTGGCTGCTCCTAAGCTAAGGCTGTTTTTAACGGGCTAGCTCATAATCCTTTGACCTGGTGTGCTCAAGTTGGCTCCAAGCTAGCCCGATCTGCAGACGGTTTATTTAGGTGTTCTGTGGCGGGCAGACCTCCTGCAACGCAGGCTAGCTCTTAATCCATCGTTTTTCGTTTAAATTTATTTCGATTCTTTGCAAACAGTTAAAGTGATGACGCGGATTGCATGTAAGGTTAGGGTGCGATGTAGGTCTCTAACCAAAGCTGTATAACTAACTAACCACTAAGGTTAGGCCAGCTTTGCTCTAGTTTATAAAAATCTTAACTTCATAATTTAACCTATTCAGTGGTAAATCACTAAATCTCCTATTTTTTGTTTAGCCTATATGTATTATTTTGATAATCCTGGTGGTATGATTCCAACGTGGTTAATAAACTGGGCTGCCAAGGTATGACACCAAGCTAGCTGAATTATTTCACAAGCCATGTGCCCCAGGAGGGCTCATCTCTGCTTCCTTGCTCTTCACCTGATGGGAGAATTACTTTATCAAAGGGTTCAGCTTAAGACTATATATAATTGAAAACGTCAGTTAAATAAGGAGCAGCGCATGCATGCGTGTACAGAAGGGGCATAACTCTATTTACGTGAGGTTTGGAAATTTGTTTAAGGCATATTAAAAGACAAATTAAATCGTTGGATGTTGGTTTATTCTTGACTTAACTTTACTAATAATCTTCAATGACACATGTATATATAGTATCTCAGCTAGCTAAGAATACTTTTCTTCACCAACCGACGAAGCCGAGCTTCCGCTCAAATCGTTCATGTATTCTAATTTTTTCAAATAGTTCAGAGATACACCTTATATACTTATAAACTCGGTCCAGTTTACCTGTAATACCATTTACCATGCAAGTAGAAACTGCAAGTCCTTTCAGGATGCCGTGCACATTATACCGTGTCGTTGAATCTCTCAAAATGTTTTCAGTTCTGATAAAATCAAATACATGCATGCTTGGCCTGCGTGCATGCAGTCTCATAACATCCATTAAACGATCATGCATCGGTTGATCGATGTCATGAGACTGCGTACAGGCTGATACATGCCATGATTTACCGTAAATTAATCGTTTATTCGGTGTGGCAATAAAAGATCATTTTATTAATTTATTTTAATCTTTGTAGACAGGTGTGCCAAAGTTTGCAGGAGATATGAGAAAAGCTTGTTTACGTTATGAAGATTTTCTGCAAAAGGGAAGAAAATAATGATTTCCACCAACAGACACTCAGATACATCAACGGACAATAACAGGTCCCGATTATCTTTAATGTCCTTAAAATCGAAACATCTGAACAATTATATTTATAAAATGCACATCCAAACAACGGAAACTGAAAATGAATGCAAACTGTAATGGACATGCAAACAACGGAAACTGAAAATGAATGCAAACTGAAAATGCCTCTGTACATGCGTAATGGCTGATTTATACTTACATGCACGGATTTCTTATATATGAACTGTCTGTTAAGGCTGTCTGTTATCAAGTTTCTGTGATCACAGTAGGACTTTTGCATATACGTAAATTCTACGATTTGAAGGATTTGTAAGAAATGATTGAGGGAACTGACTTGTCTTAGTGTTAAACAATGAGTCAGTTCCCTCAAAAATTTCTTACAAATATATCCTTCTTTTACCCATGCAAAATTCCTACTGTGACCACAGAAACTATAAGCAGCAAATTACAAACCAGCTGTTGAGCGTGAATAAAACCTTGATAAAGATATGTTATTGAAGTTATTTGTGTCTATAGTAGTATAGTTTGTCGCACAAGATACACTTTCAAGAACTTTCATTGTATGTCGAACATATAAAACAATGAAAACTTCTACCCAATAACGGCCAGCAAACTTCAGCTCCGAAGCCCAAGCCTGCATTTCTGTTCGTTTCACTGTATTTTAAATGTCACCTACAGCTACCACATTTCCTACCTAAAATTTCGGTCAGAGTACCATTTTAGAGGTCCAAAAATTTTTCCGGACGTACTAAAATTTTCCGGAACATTCAAAAATTTTCCGCACATAACAAATTTTCAACATTTTTTTTACATTTTTCCAAAATTTTTACATTTTTCCTCAAAATTTTCCTAAAATTCCCACCACGTTATTGCCCTTTGCGCCAAAAATATTTAACCCAAATAGCAGTTCTACCGACTGAATAGCAGTCCTACCGACTGAATAGCAGTCCTGCCGACTGAATTCAATTACTGGGGGGTGTCACACCCCCCACACCCCCCCGTAGCTCCGGGCCTGTCAATGAAAGTTGGTAGGTGCGAGTGCTGGTCATCCTTACTTGACCTAAATTCTGCTGGGACCCACCTCAGTGGACCCAACACACAAACGTGACGAGTTGGAGGCTTACTACAAAGTAGCCCCTGTTGCAAACATGCAACCTATGTCTAATCACGGAACACAGCTAAGCTGGAAAGGTTAGATCTTGATGAAGGAAGGAAAAAGAATGAGCAGTTGCGAAAAATGCAACTATTGGCCCTCTAGCAGGAATCGAACCAGTGTGACCATATTTTTCCGGCTCTTATTACTAAACTTTGTGCTCAAAATCTACTAAATCGATAAATTTTTGCCAAATTACATTCGCCCTCACCCCGGTTTGATAAGCGTCTGTAGCACTATGGGTCACATATCAGGTCACACTGATTATCGAACAGCGCGCGCACTTATATGAAGTATACCATTACTTGATAGAAGATACCGCTAAATGAAAAAGAACGTGGGCGCGTATAAAGCTTGAACGGTTTGTAGAGAAGTCAAAATACGAAGTTGACGAAATTTTGTTTAAAAATCGCTTGTTTTAGCATGTTCGCATCGAGCCTTCGAACGCCAGAGTTGAATAATAGGAGTAAAAGAAAGTGGAATAGGTAAGTATTTAGTGAATGACCTAGTTGATGTTTGGTAGAGGACAAATTCATTTGGCATATCTGATATCTCGTGAAAACATATTGTCATGCTGATTGTCATGTACAGCTGCTCACACATGTTCTTCTCGCATGACATAAATGATCGTACATACCATTTTGGTTTATTTTAATTTTATATTAAGTGTACTTGGCTTAGAAATAATGTTAGCCACATTCACCCGTGAAGCTGCAAATATGTAATTTATTATTTTACTTTGTTTATATTAGTGTAGGTATTACTTATTTAGGATGGTTTATCTGACTTCAATTTGGATCAAATATTGACAAATGCAGACCTCTCAACTCTCACCCATTCGGTGTGAGTCTCACGCAATTCGCTTCACACTCACACTCTCACACCATGTTTAGTAAATCTCACACATATAGCAGTTTCATAGTATTTTTTAAATAAATAAATTAGGGATGAGCCGATTAATAGGTAAATAATCGGCAAAGCCGATTAATCTGCCGTTTTTAAATAATCGGTAATCCGCCGATTATTGCCTGATAATCGGCCATAAGACTTTTTCTGCAGCTGCCAAGTACATGCTAAAATACTGAACACAAGCTGATAGATTTTCACATTTTGTTGCAAAATCTGTGTCTTTTGTCTCAAGCGAAGTGAAGCTGGGAGCATTTCCACTGAACTTTGATAATTGACATGCAAGATTGAGGCTGTTTTTAATTGTACATAGTGTATTGTAAACAATAAAACCGCATTTACAACTTCATTGTTGGTCATCTTGTGACTTTTCGCTTGCTTTTTATAATAATCGGCAGGTACTCATTAATCGGCCGATTAGTTACGATAATCGGTTTATAAATAATCGGCATCAGTAATCGGCAATTTTCCTTATTGGCTCATCCCTAAAATAAACATAATATAATTGTATTCTTAAATGCACATTATTAATCATTTATTCATTATACAGATCGCGAATCGAATATATAATCGTGTGTTATTGTTCCTGCATATACGGCCCAACATGGCTTTTGCCCGCAATTTGGATACAAAATAGTATGCATATGTAAATACGGCGGATAAAAGGCAGAATCAATCTATATGTAAATTATCAAAGGCAAATTAAAGCTCATTACTGTATGTCACAGAAATACAGTTATTGTAACTAAAGTGCCTTGCCTTAAAAGGACGTTATGAAGCAATGACATATTAATTTCATTAAAAAAGACCAACTCTCATAATGTACGAAATGCCATTTCAGTATGAAATGCCATCTCACTAGCTGCATATCTTTGCCAAAAATGGACCTCAGAATTGAAATCTTCATGCTCAAATTAGACTAGATTCAGGGCATGAGTTACAGTGTTTTAAAAATTTTGTTTTTACTATGTATAGTAATATATGTTTGCGATGTTACTCTGAGTGCATATCCACACCGGGCGAGCTTGAAAAATATGCCCGGCCACGGTGGGATTCGAACCTACGACCTTTGGAATACTAGCCCAATGCTCTTCCAACTGAGCTACGCGGTCAGGACGGTTCGAGTAAGTGATATTTCGGAACAGTATCTAGTTCCTTCAATACCAATGTGTTCTAGTAATATGAATTTTTAAAATGTGTTCTAGTAATATGAATTTTTAAAAATTCATATTACTAGAACACATTGGTATTGAAGGAACTAGATACTGTTCCGAAGTATCACTTACTCGAACCGTCCTGACCGCGTAGCTCAGTTGGAAGAGCATTGGGCTAGTATTCCAAAGGTCGTAGGTTCGAATCCCACCGTGGCCGGGCATATTTTTCAAGCTCGCCCGGTGTGGATATGCACTCAGAGTAACATCGCAAACATATTATTCACCTGAGTACACAACACCAACACAGAAAAATTTGTATAGTAATATGTTTACAAATTAATCCATGCTGCATGTTGTATAAGGAATTTTCAACACTATTAACACTTCATTATGATGTTCAACGTTTGTCAATCTTTTTATTCTAGCATTTGTGAGCTCTCTCCTTGATGACTTGAAGTGCCTGCCTGTCTGGCAGTAGATATGGGATAAAGTAACATATGACTATATATGACTTAATAAATCAGTTCCGGTCGGATCTGGTTCTGCCCGGAACTTAAAAAATTGGTTCCGGTGCACCCCTAAGAGAGTGGGGTCTTGATGGTGGCAAGACTGACTAGTAGGGCTGGGATATAGCTCAGTGTGATGTAGTATGTGACAAGAGCACAATTTTTCTTGATCTTCCTAATGACAGTTTTGGAACAATTTGAAATTCAAGAAAGTCACACAGTTTGAGCTTTGTAAATACATAGATGGATTTTCATATTTTTTACTGGGGTGGTGCCAGAAATTTTAGGGGGGTGAGCCGCGAGCAGGTGACTGAAGCAACACAAAGTGTCACCAAACCCCTCTATATTCTAGGGGTGGAGCAGAAAGAGAGCAGAAAACAAAGTATCCCTGGAAAATTTGAAAAAAATCATGATTTCTAACTTCGAAAAAACGTTTTTTGAAGTTGTCATATCAATGGATTTGGCCTGTCCGATTGTCTGTTGAGACTTGAGAGAGTTAAAGTTAAATGAACCTGTAAAAGTGTAAACCCAATAGGCCAATACACAATATGATTTTACTTTTATAAAATCATTGACATTGTGTCGTTTGAATCCGAGTACAATTTATGATGCAACTCCGATGTAAATAATATTTGGGACGTAAAGATTAAATCTAGGCAAGACTATTTCCTAAAAGAATTAAAAACTATTAAATATTATGTTCGTAAAATTTCCAAACGTTCCTTGCAAGCAAGCTATTTGCATGACAAGGCACTTCAAATTCTATTCAGGGGAGATAATAGAATTTCAAAACTTTACAATTGGTCCAATAAACCAGTGAATGCAAGCGAGGAGCAATTAGTTTCAGAGTATTAATTTGCACTGTCTTTTTCTATTTGAGTGTACTCCTACGTTTATTTTGTATCATCAACACTTTGCACGTTGGAGTGGACTATTTATTATGCCGAATATTGGGGGGGGGTTGAAATTTTTTTGTAGGGATGGACATTTTGTTTGGGGGGGGG